GCGTCGTCGATGCGGAACATGTAGCAGCCGATGCCCTGGGGTGGGGTGGGGTGGGGTGGAGAAGACCGAAAAAGAAAGGGAGGTGAGATTGGGTGGTTGGTGGTGGTGGGGAATGGTCTCCGTGGGGTGGGGAGGTGAAGGGGGGGAGGGCATCATTGGGGTGGGGACACCATGATGGGACGTCAGGATGGGATGGAGACACCACCAGGGGATGTCATCATGGGATGGGGACACCACCAGGGACATCCTGATGGGATGTAGACACCACCAGGGGATGGAGACACCATGAAGGGACATCATCATGGGATGGGGACACCATGATGGGATGGGGACACCATGAAGAAACATCATGATGGGATGGGGACACCATCATGAGATGGGGACACCATCATGGGTTGAGGACATCGTGATGCGGTGGGGACACCATGAAGGAACATCATGATGGGATGGGGACACCATGATGGGACGTCATCATGGGATGGGGGCACCATCAAGGAACATCATGATGGGATGGGGACACCATGAAGGGATGGAGACACCATCAAGGGATGGGGACACCATGATGGGATGGGGACACCATGATGGGATGACACCATGGGATGGAGACACCATCAAGGGACGTCATCATGGGATGGGGACACCATCAGGGGATGAGGACACCATCATGGGATGGAGACACCATGAAGGGACGTCAGGATGGGATGTGGACACCATCATGGGACATCATGATGGGGTGGGGACACCATGAAGACACGTCATGATGGGATGGGGACACCATGAGGGGACATCATCATGGGATGGGGTCACCACCAGGGGATGGGGACACCATGAAGGGACGTCAGGATGGGATGTGGACACCATCATGGGACATCATGATGGGGTGGGGACACCATGAAGACACGTCATGATGGGATGGGGACACCATGATGGGATGACATCATGGGATGGGGACACCATCAAGGGACATCCTGATGGGATGGGGACACCATGAAGGGATGGAGACACCATGATGGGACGTCAGGATGGGATGGGGACACCATGAAGACACGTCATGATGGGATGGGGACACCATCAAGGGACACCATGATGGGATGGGGACACCATCAAGGGATGTCATCATGGGATGGGGACACCATGAAGGGACACCCCGATGGGATGGGGACATGAAGCACCCGATGCCTCATGGGATGGGGACACCATCAAGGGACATCCTGATGGGATGGGGACACCATGAAGGGATGGAGACACCATGATGGGACGTCAGGATGGGATGGGGACACCATGAAGACACGTCATGATGGGATGGGGACACCATCAAGGGACACCATGATGGGATGGGGACACCATCAAGGGATGTCATCATGGGATGGGGACACCATGAAGGGACACCCCGATGGGATGGGGACATGAAGCACCCGATGCCCCAGGAGATGGGGACACGATCCCTGAGCAGATGATGCCCCACGTCCCCATGGGGTCTCCACGTCCCCAGGGACCACCAGGGGTGACCCCAGTGTGTCCACAAGGTGCCCCTGAGATCCCACCTCCCTCTTGACCTTCTCCCGATCCTCAACCCCCAGGAGATGGGGACACGATCCCTGAGCAGATGATGCCCCACGTCCCCATGGGGTCTCCACGTCCCCAGGGACCACCAGGGGTGACCCCAACGTGTCCCCGAGGTCCCCATGGGTTGTCCCCGAGGTGTCCTCAAAGTCCCCGAGATCCCACCTCCCTCTTGACCTTCTCCCAATTCTCAACGAGCCCCAGGGGGATCCCACCCCATGTCCTCATGGAGTCTCCACGTCCCCAAGGGCCACCAGGGGTGACCCCAACGTGTCCCCGAGGTCCCCATGGGTTGTCCCCGAGGTGTCCTGAAGGTCCCCGAGATCCCACCTCCCTCTTGACCTTCTCCCAATCCTCAGCGAGCCCCAGGGGGATCCCACCCCACGTCCCCATGGGGTCTCCACGTCCCCAGGGGCCACCGGGGGTGACCCCAACGTGTCCCCGAGGTCCCCCCGGGTTGTCCCCGAGGTGTCCCCCCCCCACCTTGCTGTCGTAGAACTTCTCCCTCTTGTCGGTGAGGACGGAGCGGACCACGATCCCCGAGTACTCGATGACCATCTCCCCGGCCTCGATGTTGCGTTTGCAGAACAGGCCCCGCCCGTGGATGGCCGAGCTTTTGGGGGGGGGGGAGGGGACAGGAGGGGACAGAGGTGTCACCCCCCACCCCACAGTGGTGGGACAACACCCCCTCCCCCCACAGCGGGACACCCCGACACCCAGTGGGACCCACCAACACCCACCAGGACCTTCTGCTTGGACCGTGGGGACAGCGAGGAGGGGGGGGACGTTGGGGTGGGGGGACATCAAGGGTGGGGTGACACCAGGGATGGGGTGACACCAGGGATGGGGTGACACCAGGGATGGGGTGACACCAAGGAGGGGTGACAACGAGGTGACACCAGAGGAGGGTGACACTGCGGAGGAGTGACAACGGGGTGGGGTGACACCAGGTTGGGGTGACACCAAGGATGGGGTGACAAGGAGGTGACACCACCAAGAGGAGGTGACACCGGGGAGGGTGACAGCAGGGGAGGAGGATGGGGAAGGTGACAATGAGGGGGGTGACGGGGTGTCGGGGTGACACGGTGACGGGGTGAGGAGGCGACAGGGTGACAGAGGGGGTGTCAGGGTGATGGGGTGACAAGGTGACAGGGTGACATAGTGACCGGGTGACAGGGTCGGGGGGTGACAAGGTGTCAGGGTGACA